CTGCTGGAAGAACAGTATGAACATGGAACATTTTTTAAAAACTGACAATATACTGGGACATTAAAAAAGTCTAAACAAATTTCATGTAATTAAACAATGCAGAGCATATTCTCTGACCTTGGTGTATTTTAAAAAAAAAAAAAAAACAAGATGAAAAGACAGCCCTCAGAATGGGAGAAAATATTTGCAAATGAAGCAACTGACAAATGATTAATCTCCAAAATTTACAAGCAGCTCATGCAGCTCAATAACAAAAAAACAACCCAATCCAAAGATGGGCAGAAGACCTAAACAGACATTTCTCCAAAGAAGATATACAGATTGCCAACAAACACATGAAAGAATGCTCAACATCATTAATCATTAGAGAAATGCAAATCAAAACTACAATGAGATATCATCTCACACCAGTCAGAATGGCCATCATCAAAAAATCTAGAAACAATAAATTCTGGAGAGGGTGTGGAGAAAAGGGAACAATCTTGTACTGCTCGTGGGAATGTGAATTGGTATAGCCACTATGGAGAACAGTATGGAGGTTCCTTAAAAAACTAAAAATAGAACTACCATACGACCCAGCAATCCCACTACTGGGCATATACCCTGAGAAAACCATAATTCAAAAAGAGTCATGTACCAAAATGTTCATTGTAGCTCTATTTACAATAGCCAGGACATGGAAGCAACCTAGGTGTCCATCAACAGATGAATGGATAAAGAAGATGTGGCACATATATACAATGGAATATTACTCAGCCATAAAAAGAAACAAAATTGAGTTATTTGTAGTGAGGTGGATGGACCTAGAGTCTGTCATATAGAGTGAAGCAAGTCAGAAAGAGAAAAACGAATACCATATGCTAACATATATATATGGAATCTAAAAAAAAAAGAAAATGGTCATGAAGAACCTAGGGGCAAGACGGGAATAAAGACACAGACCTACTAGAGAATGGACTTAAGGATACGGGGAGGGGGAATGGTAAGCTGGGACGAAGTGAGAGAGTGGCATGGACATATATACACTACCAAACGTAAAATAGATAGCTAGTGGGAAGCAGCTGCATAGCACAGGGAGGTCAGCTCGGTGCTTTGTGACCACCTAGAGGGGTGGGATAGGGAGGGAAGGAGACACAGAGGGAAGAGATGTGGTGACGTATGTATATGTATAGCTGATTCACTTTGTTATAAAGCAGAAACTAACATACCATTTTAAAGCAATTATACTCCAATAGAGATGTTAAAAAAAAAAGATAACAAATGCTGGTAAGATGTGGAGAAAAGGGTACCCTGGTGCACTGTTGGCAGGATTATAAACTGGTACAGGCACTATAGAAAACAGTATGGAGGTTCCTCAAAAGGTTACAAGTGTAAATGTTAAAAATTTTGCACTAGCATATGAACCAGAAGTTCCACTTCTGAGAATATATTGAAAGGAAACAAAAACACTAACTAGAAAAGATATCTGCACCCCCATGTTCATAGCAGCATTATTTACAATAGTCAAGACATGGAAACAGCCTCAGTGTCCATTCATCTGTAAATATATATATATATACACAAAGAACACACACACACCAGAATATTCTTCAGCCACCAAAAAATGAGAAAATCCCGCCATTTGCGACAACATGGATGGACGTGGAAAGCATTATGCTAAATGATATAAGTCAGGTAGAGAAAGACAAACACTGTATGATCTCACTTACATGTGGAATCTAATTCTTTTTTAAAACTCATAGAAAAAGGAATCAGATTTGTGGTTACCAGAGACAGGGAGTGGCGAGAGGGAGAATTAGAGGAAGGGAGTTAAAAGGTACAAGCTTCCAGTTATAAATAGGTATAAGGAATATAATGTACAACATGGTAACTATAGTTAATACTGCTATATGATATATATGAAAGTTAAGAGAGTAGATGCCAAGAGTCCATATCACAAGGAAAAGCTTTTTTCTTTTTGTTTCATTTATATGAGATAATGGATGCTAACTAAAGGTACTGCAGTAATCATTTCACAACATTTGTAAGTCAAGCCATTATGCTGTATACCTTAAACTTACACAGTGATGTATGTCTATTATATCTCAATAAAACTGGGGAAAAATGATGTGCAGGACTGAATTACTGGTTTTATCTTTTAAATATCAACAGATATTTCCTAATAGCTCTGGTATGACAGTCCTGAGCAGCCTAAATGAAAGATACCATAAAACATGCAAGCAAAATACAAAGGGCCAATAAGCACATGAAAAGAAGCTCCACATCGTTAGTTGTTACCACAATAAGATAGCACTTCACACCCACTAGAATGGCTATATATTTTTAATAGATCTTTACTGGAGTATAATTGCTTCACAATACTGTGTTAGCTTCTGTTGCACAACAAAGCGAATCAGCCATATGCATACACGTGTTACCACATCCCCTCCCTCTTGAGCCTCTCTCCCATCCTCCCTATCCCACCCCTCTAGGTCATCGCAAAGCACCAAGCCGATCTCCCTGTGCTATGCTGCTGCTTCCCACCAGCCAACTATTTTACATTTGGTAGCGTATATATGTCCATGCCACTCTCACTTTGCCCCAGCTTCGCCCTCCCACCCCATGTCCTCAAGTCCATTCTCTATGTCTACCTCTTTATTCCTGCCCTGCAACTAGGTTCATCAGTACCATGGTTTTTTTTTTGTTTTTGCTTTTAAGATTCCATAAGGAGGCAAGAACGTACAATGGAGAAAAGACAGTCTCTTCAATAAGTGGTGCTGGGAAAACTGGACAGCTACATGTAAAAGAATGAAATTAGAACACTTCCTAACACCATACACAAAAAATAAACTCCAAATGTATTAAAGACCTAAATGTAAGACCAGACACTATAAAACTCTTAGAGGAAAACACTTTTTGACATAAACCACAGCTATAATTTTTAAAACCTGAACATAACAAGTGTTGGTTAAGGGTGAGGAGAAACTGGAACCCTTGAACATTGCTGATAGGATTTTAAAATGGTTCAGCTGCTATAGAAAACAGTTTGGCAGTTCCTCAAGTCAAACAGAATTACCATACGATCCAGCACTTCTACTCCAAGGTATATACTCCAAAGAATTAAAAACAAGTACTCAGACAAATACTTGTACAAAAATGTTCAAAGCAGCAGTAATCCAATAGTAAAAAGTTGGAAACAACCCAAACGTCCATAAACGGATGACTAGATAAAATGTGGTTTATCCATATAATAATATTGCTCAATCATTATAGACATGATACAACATGGATGAATGTCAAAAACATGCTGAGTGGAAGTAGACAGACACAGAAGCTTACATAACATATAATTCCATTTATCTCCATATGAAATATCCAGAACAGGTAAATTCATAGAGACAGGAAGCATACTGGTGGTTGCCAGGGGCTGAGGGAGGAAATGAATGAGGAGTGTCTGCTTAACGGGTACCAGGTTTCCTTTTAGGGTGATGAAAATGTTTTGGAACTAGAGAGAGGTGTTAGTTGCAAAGCTGTGAATGTACTAAATGGTACTATATTTTTCATGTTAAAATGGTTGATTTTATGTGATGAACTTCACTTCAATAAAAATTTTAAAAAAATAAATGCAAGCTGTAATTTTTCTACCACCATATAATACTCCATGAAACCTGAAGGGAGAAAATGTTCACAGTGTAAGGAAAGATGACAAGAGTTATGACTTTCTGGAATACTACATCTTTACATATCTCGTATTCCATATCCCCAAGAAGAAACGTCATTTTCCTCTCCTCTTTGGGAAAGCAGTGAAAGCAACATATTGTCTATGAGTGGCATAACTGCTCTAGAAAGACCACTCCCAGCCCCTTTGGCTATTTTCACCGTCCTGTGGTCACAAAGACCTTCCATGCTCTTTGTTCTTACCTAACAGCATTTTCTCATGTAAATGGCCTTTCCTCCTTAAGTCTCCTTTTCCTAATACGCAACCTATTCTCCCTCTGCCTTCTGTTTTCCATATCCTTCTCCTATAATAAGAGGTAAAGGGAAACCTCAAGTTTACAGACTGCAGTATTTTGTTGACGGCAACTCCATTCTTCCAGTTGCTCAGACCAAAAACCTTGACTTTCCTCTGTTCACTCTCACTATGGACCCATCAGCAACTTCTATGTCTCTACCTTCAAAGCACACTCAGAATCGGACCACTTCCTACTACGTCCACCGCTACCAACCTGGTCTAAGCCTCCGTCTTTCTCACTTACATTACTGCAGCAGCATCTCATCTGGTCCCCCTGCTCTAGCCCTTGCCTATGTAAGGGTCATCGTCAACACGGCAGCTGGAGTCATCCTTTGAAAACATAACATGGATCATGCCACTCATCTGCTCAATGTCCTCTAGCGGTTTTTCATCTTCCTCAGAGTATAAACCAAGTCCTTGCAGGGATGTCTACTCTCCTAACCTCTCTGACCTTGTTCTGCTAGGACCCTCCCCCTTGTTCATGCCACTCCAGCCACAGAAGCCTGGCTGTCCCTCAAACATGCCAGTTAAGCTCTCTCTTGCTGTTCTCTCTGCTTGGAGCACTCTGCCTTCAGACAGGTTCACACTCTGTCCCTCTTTGCAGGTTGTTAAACAAATATCACCTTCTCAGTTACATTATGTAAAATTTCAGCCCATCTCCCCAGTACTCCCTATCCCCCTTCCCAAATTTATTTTTCTTCTGAGAAATCCAGGATCTAAGAAGGAAAAATAGAGCGCTAGCAAGGTGAAATAGTGGCTTCTGGGAGAGACATAATCATGGTCATTAACTCAGGGTCACAAAAGTGAGTGCCTCTACAGGCCAGGCAGGTGCCTGATGTGAATGAGTGCAGGCCAGGTATGGGACAGTAGGGAGTGCTGGTGACCGGGGAAAACTGACCATATTGAGCTCCATCTGAAAGCTTTAAAATTCAAATTAAAAAAATAATCTGTGCAGTCCATACAAAAAGAGCCTGTGGGTATTTTTAGGCCTATAGGCTGCTAGTCTACAAATGCTACTAGATAAATGCTGTGATAAAATCAGCTACATTACTGATGTTTCAAAGTCGCCCAAGTATTCCAGTACTTGGATCTCAACAACAGAAGTATTCTCTTATGTTTCTGGAAAGGAGGAGTTAGGCAGGGAAATAAATGCTTTCTTCCCTGTCATAGTTTTTCTAACCGCTAGCATTAGATGTGCTGGAGTTTCATAATACTTTTCCCCTCATCTCTAGGCTCAAATTTTTAGTGGGATAGAGTGGAAAGTAGACCAGACAAAGGCTGGACAACCCAGTTCTGCCACTTACGAGACTTTAGTTCTTAATAACTTCCATCGACCAATTTATGAATAAAGAAGATGCGGTACATATATACAATGGAATATTACTCAGCCATATAAAAGAATATTACTCAGCCATAACGCCATTTGTAGCAACATGGATGGAACTAGAGATTATCTTACTAAGTGAGGTAAGGCAGACAGAGAAAGACAAATATCATATGATATGGCTTATATGTGGAATCTAAAAAAAATGATACAGATGAACTTATTTACAAAACAGAAACAGACTCACAGACTTCAAAAATAAACTTATGGTTACCAGAGGGGGAAGGAGCGGGGGAGGGATAAATTAGGAGTTTGGGCTTAGCAGATACAAACTACTATATATAAAATAGATAAACAACAAGGACCTACTGTACAGCACAGGAAACTCTGCTTAATATTCTATAATAACCTATAAGGGAAAAGAATCTGAAAAAGAATAGATATATGTATAACCAAATCACTTTGCTATACACCTGAAACTAACACAACATTGTAAATCAACTATACCCTGATATAAAATAAAAATTAAAAAAATATTCTTGGAGCTCAGCTTGCTTAACAACAACACAGGAGTAACACCTACCTCATAAGCCTGGGGTAAGGGTTAAACAAAATTATGGATGCATAAGTGCTGTCTGTATCAAAAAAAAGCTATAGGAATTATATGTTACTATCTTACCAAAGAAAATTAGGCTACATTGGCCTATTTCTAAGCAATATGTACGTACAATCTATTGACACGCAATATCATTTTATCAACACAGATTAGTTTTCTAACAAGTCCACTACTACAGAGTACAAGGGAAATTATATTATAGTTGGTTATCCATATTTTCTTAATTTTCTTTATGTGATAGATGCTTAAAGTTTCCTACATCCCTTTTCTGATGAACTGGACAAGAATGTCCAAAGAGACCAGAAATGTTAAATTAGTGAGACAATCTACACTGTTTCATTAAATTTATTTTACTTCATCAGTACATGAAAAGCCTCCTAAATGTATTCACAAAGCTCAATGGCTAAAAACGTTTTTTAGAAGTGATATGACAATGCTTAAGGAAAAGGAAATAGCTTTCAAATTTCTATAATAATGCAGCCCAATTAAAATTATATAATAGCTGAAAGTTTCTGACACATAGGAAATAATGTTAACATATTTTAGTAAATATAACTATTTTTATGCCATTATTATCATTATTCAACTTGAAGAAATACTTCATGAAGTGAAATAGCGAGAATCAAATGATGCTGAAGGAAAAGACTGGCCACTGATGATGGACAGGCTGTGTGCCTGCTGTGTACAGTCAAGCAGGTTGTGCACTGCTCATTCCAGGCTTTGGCAAATGGCATCACTGGTCACCAGCATTCAGGTTCCCTCTGTGGCACCCCAAGTCACTCTGCGCTGGTACCCAACTATGGAATGCCCCCTAAACCTGCAGAGCAGGGACACAAAGAAAGCGGTACCACCACCTGGCAGGGAGGAGGGTATTTTAGAAAATTGTAGAGGCTGTTTTGGCGGTCACAATGATTGGCAGGGTCAGCATCATTTAGTGGGAGGGCGTCAAGGATGCCAGACATCAAAAAATGCATAGGATGGTCCCACAAAATAAAGAATTATTTTGCATCCCACATAACTTTTAGATGTCCTATTAAATATTATCCATGTTGGTGAGAAATCTATTTAGACTGATTTGAATCTAGAATCTACCTGTGTTTTACGTTTAAACCTAAAGCATTTAGATATGATTTTAACATATTTTGAATTTTTCAGGCATACAACCACTGGGTAAATTGAAGGTATCTTGCCAAGAGCTGTTTACCTGTTGAGAACATCACATCACTGCTGTCCGAAATGGCTAAGGTGTCCAAGATGCCTACCTAGTAGCACACGTTCTTGCATCTGTTGAGTGGTGCCCATGTTCCCCCATTACATTCACAGAGGAGCCAGCACCCCATGCCTTCATTCTGCCTCCTGGTGAATCATGCTTAAGAAAAACCTTTGGAAAGACTTAACTATTTTATTATGAATTACTTCCAAGTTCTCCTGTCATTACACTTAGAGCATTATTTTGACTTTTAAAGTTATGTGTAAGTAGACTGTGTTTTCTCTGAGTTTCATTTCAGGATGGTAGAGAGAACATTAAGATCTTTGTTACTGAATCCGAAGGGCACACTGAATCAAAGGATTGACAACCACTGCTCAAGAATACATGAAATTGTCACGTCTCTATGGAGTTCACATATTTGTTGCCTATTAACCAGAACCGTCCTTGCTGAGGTGGGCTAACTTCTGATTGATCTACTTATGTTGATCGGTGTAGCCATCCTGCCACTGGGAGGTGTGCTGTACTCTTGAATTGAGGATAGGGACAAGAAGAGTGAAGGAAAAATGGGAGAGAAGGAAGAGGTCATCACTCCACTTCTAGGAAATATGATAGAGTGGAAAGAACAGTGGCCTGGAATTCTGGGGACCTAGATTCAGTTCCACAGAACTCTGTGCCCTCCGACATGGCACTTCAGTTCTATGAGTCTTAGACTTTTTACCTGAAAAATGGACCACATCCCTTCCAGTCTAGGTCTCTCAAAAAAAGTCCCACTTGACACTATACATATACTTTCCCTGAAAGCACCAGTCACCTGCATATAAGAAGCAGAGCTATTTCTCCTGTATCTGTTGAGAAACATTGTGGGAGAGGGGAAAAGACAAGAGCACTAAAATTTTTAATAAATTTTTACAGGGATAGATATTTTAAGCACATGATCATGTGATATTCATAAGAGGAGATGAGGAAACTGAGGCTCAGAGACGTTAAGTAACCTGCACAAGGTCATGACGCCAGGACACAACAGAGCAGGGGTTTGTACCCAAGCCTGCCTGACTCCAAAGCTTGTTCCAAACCACCATGTTTTCCTGAAGAGAAGGGGATCTGAGAGGCCCAGAAAGACCCTCACTTCTTAACTAAAGAGGAAGAGTCTTGTGTTATTGGCCAATTTCATTTGCTGAAACCACAGTATCATTATATGTAAGGTGATCACTTGTCCCTATTTGCCTGGTACAGTCCCATGGTATGCCTGTTTCCTAGCAGCATTATTAAAGTGCCCCTTTCACTCTCAAAAGGTTTGCCTAATAGATTTTATGGTCACCTAATTACGTGTTTATATGTCATACCTCCTGTGATTGTATCCTGGAAGCCAAAAAAAAAAAAAAAAAAAAATCACTTGCTGTTGTGGTATAACAAGTTCACTGTATTATGCATGTGCTATCAGTGCCCCAAATGTTTTCTATCC